TTCAGTTGACAAATATTTGGGCTGCTTTCACTTTTTTGGTGATTTTGAATAGTTTCCCTATGATTATTTGGAACAAGTTCCTGCTGGAGAACATTTTCATTTCTTGTAATCTACATTTTCATTTCTTGTAGTCTATATCTACTGCTAGGTCTTCCAGTAACTTTACATGTAGTTTTTGGAGGAACTTCAAGAAAATCTCTAAAGCAGCCGCACGATTTTACATTGTAACAAGCAGTTTAGGAAGGTTGCAATTTCTCCAAGTATCCAACAACCTTCAGCACTTTCTTCCTGGGTATAAAATTCTTCTCTCTGTGGTTTTGATTTGCGTTTCCCTTGTGACAAATAACATTAGCATCTTTTCATGTGATTAGTCACTATTTATATATTCTCTAGGGGAAATATATATTCAAATCCTGTACTAGGGTTTTTTTTTTTTTTTGCGGGGGTGGTGTTTGTGGAGGGGGGAGGTGGTATACTCAGTGGTGCTAAGCACTTATTCCTGATTTCTCCAGCCCCCTTTGCTATTTTTAAAATAGAACCAGGGGCTGGAGAGGTAGCACAGCGGGTAGGGTGTTTGTCTTGCACGCGGCCGACCCGGATTCGATTCCCAGCATCCCATGTGGTCCCCTGAGCACCACCAGGAGTCATTCCTGAGTGTAGAGCTAGGAGTAACCCCTGTACATTACCAGTATGACTCACCCCCCCAAAAAATCAAAAAAAAAAAAAGGAACTACTTGTATTTTTTATTGTTGAGTTCTTTCTGTTAAGTTGCTTTCTGCATTCTGGATTTATGGTTCTTGGGCTGGTATTGCTCAGGGGGTCTGTGATTAGAATTGATCCCTGATGGTACTTCAAGGACCATATTCAGAGCCAAGGATCGAACCAGAGTTGGCTGCATGCCAGGCAACTGCCTTCATCACTGTACTGTCTTTGTGGTTCTTGCCCTTTTGAAGTACAAATGTTTTTAATTTTTATAATATTCTATTCATGTGGGTTTTTGTTTTGTTTTTGCCTGTGCTTTTGTGTCCTATCTAACAAACTCCTGCCTAATCCTAGGTCATGAAATTTATGAAACCTATGTTGTTTTTTTAAGATTTTTATCATTTTGAATATTACATTTAGGTCCCTGATACATTTATTTTTATATATAGTATGAAGTCCATATTTTATTTTGTCCTTTGGCCTGTAGCTATTCCTATCATTGTTTGTTGAAAGATTATTACTTCCCCTTTAAATTTTCTTGACCCCAACATGTTATTCTTTAATAATGCTTTAAAAACCATTTCCATTTTAGCATCAAAATGTTTTGAAGCAGGGGCATCTCTCATACTTAGATCTACCCTTAACCTTTATACTTGACTGATGATAGAACTTTTGCAACTCTCTCTCTCTCTTTCTCTCTCTCTCTCTTTCTCTTTCTCTCTCTCCCTCCCACCCCCCACCCCCGCCCCAGCCAGATAATAAACTTGAGAGGAAAAAAATTCTGACACTTGGTTTTAGTTTTGCTCACAAGTAGGCGGGGATTGAAAAATATTTTTGGATGAATTAATGTTTTTTTGAATAATTTGTGTTTTCCCTTAGGAATTTTTTTCTTCATGCAGAAGAAATGCCTACTAGGGAAGAATATTTTAGTAGTAAGTAAACCACCAAGGGAAAAGTTAAGTTTTATTTACATTGCATTTGATTCATTCAGACAAACACTTTTGGAGATGCTTAAGAGATTAGTACTATCTATAATCACTACTAGCAATTATTGTGTTTGTCAAAAACAAATAATTTACAATTATTACTACCTAATATTATAAATTAATATAATCACAAATAATTTTATTTGGTTTTGATATTTGAGGATAGTGAGGGAAATTATGTATGTGCTTTATGACCTGACTTAGTGAAGCTCTCTATTTTTAATTTACTTCTAAAGTATTTTTTAGTTTTTAATTTAGAGGTAAATATGACTCCAGAGAATATTCCTAACTTAGCTTTAATTTTACTGTTATAACATTTTACCATACTAATTTCATATCACTTGATTCTCTTTTACTTAAAACATACAACCACATTTAGAATTCAAGTAAATACCTTAAAATATGTCAGACTTACAAATATTTCAGATTTGAACTCTCCTTGTCAATATTTTAGTTTTGTGTCTATTATTTAAAACAAATTCTATGCATGAACTTATACTGGGCTGGAGCGATAGCACAGCTGGTAGGGCGTTTGCCTTGCATGCAGCCAACATGGCGGACCCTAGTTCGATTCCTCCACCCCTCTCAGAGAGCCCGGCAAGCTACCGAGAGTATCTCACCCGCACAGCAAAGCCTGGAAAGCTACCCATGACATATTCGATATGCCAAACACAGTAACAATAGTCACAATGGAGACGTTACTGGACCCGCTCAAGCAAATCGATGAACAATGAGAGGACAGTGACAGTGAGCTTATGCTAAATCAGTCTGAAGCTACCACTTCTGTTTACTAAAAGTGAAATAACAATGAATTTCTTGGTTTATCACAGGTCAGTGATTCTTAGGTTTCAAAAAGACTTGAAATGTGAATTCTTATTTTTAAATTGCAAAAGGGAATATGTCTTTAGCTCACAGTTCTTCAGTCCTGGAAACAACTTGCAAGTAAATAATAAAGGTATTTGGCAATACCTTAATTACCCATTAATAGAGGAATGAGGAGGTATTGATATTTTTTCAGTGGAATCCTACGTTGCAATGGCAGGTTTGTGCAATTTCAGGAGTTTAGCTTTAATCATCTATGGGTGTATAGGAGTCACACCTTTATAATAAATTTAAAAAGAACACTTTTATGTGTGAAATATAAAGGAGAATAGTAAGGGAACAACAAATAGCCAAAGTCTTTGGAATTGGAGATTTTTGTCTATCGTGTTGAGCTCACATGGAAGGGACCGTGGCTAGTGGTGGCCCTTGGTACATTGGTGGGCGGAAATGAGCACTCTGGTAATGGCATAAAAATTATAATTAACAGTATTGTAAATTTTGGTACTTCAATAAAAGTAGTGGAAAAATAAAAAAGTAAAATTGAAAAGACCCTTGGTCTAAAAAATTTTTTTAAATAACTATCAAAATTATGTACCAACAAGGAAATTATTAATGCTACAAAGTGCCTGCTATATATTTTTACATTCTTGAAGTTTAAGAGTAGGCAACGTATTATGACCTATCCCATGAAAATTTTCTTCATAATATTTGTGCAAAAATTACTGAAATGAATTATCAGTTCCCAACAGGAACTGATTAAGTAAGTAAAGTAAAGTAAAAGCCCTCCCGTTGATCGTCGATTTGCTCGAGCGGGCCCAGTAACGTCTCCATTGAAGACTTTGTTGTTACTGTGTCTGGCATATCGAATACTCTCGGTAGCTTGCCGGGATCTCCGAGAGGGACGGAGGAATCGAACTCGGGTCAGCCATGTTGGCCGCTTGTAAGGCAAACGCCCTACCTGCTGTGCTATCGCTCCAGGAACTGATTAATGGGTAATTAACTCTCACCATTCTAACTCTCATCAGGAACTAATTAATGGGTAATTAACTCTCACCATTCAGACCCAGAGACCTTCTAGGGTCTTATACTACACAGGAAAGAAGATTGGGGAAATGTTCATGTTGGAATCATTCTTTGTAGACAAGAATACAAGAGGATTTTATTCATTTTGAGTCAATTATTGTCTTTTTACACAGAATGCTTTCTGTTTTCTAATCATAGGAAATATCTTCCATCCTTTGACCTTAACAAAAATAGAAATATCCCAGGGAATAGAGATTATATTTTCTCTTTACCTACAAGAAACTGAGATCAGCTTGCAGCAGATGAAAATGAATTGCGATAGGATAGTTATGAAAAGAGAAAGCATTGCAATCCATTATGTTAGATTCAAGCGTGCAGTTTTTGAGAATGTTTATAGTACAATATTATAGAATATAATATATAACTGTAAGGGTGTACGTTTCCAAATGTGACTGCTTACTTTTTTTTATTTCCTCCAAGGTCTAAATTTTGATTTATGACTCTTTTGCATTTCTCTCGATACCCATTTTGGAAGTGGAGTTGCTGACGGCTGCTACCTGCTCCTGCCACTCTGGGTACCATCACGCCTATCACCACCTTCACTACCATGACTCCTTCTAAGAATGCTTATCTGAGGAAAAAACTGAGTGAGAAATTCCATTCAAAAGCACTTATTCTCAAGTGGTACTACATGGAAAGTATCATGTTAAGCGAAATGACTCAGAAAGAAAGGCATAGACATAGACAGATTGCATTCATCTGGGGAACATAAAGTAACAAAATAGGAGAATAACACCCAAGAATGGCCGAGATTAGTACCAGGAATTTTGCTCCATGGCTTGGAGGCCAACCACACATACTAGGGGAAAAAAGAGAGCTCAGATAAAGAAGGGAACACCAAATAAAGGGTGTTGGGAGGATCCTCCCAGGATGGGAGAAGCATGCTGAAAGTAGACTATAGACTAAACATGATTGCCACTCAATGCCTCTTTTGCAAACCACAGCACCCAAAGGAGAGAGAGAACAAAAGGGAATGCCCTGCCACAGAGGCAGGGTGGGATGGGGGGGTGGGAGATGGGAGGGATACTGGGATCCGTAGTGGTGGGAAATGGGCACCGGTAAAGGGATGGGTATTTGATCATTGTAGAATTGAAACCAAAGCACAAAAATGTGTAAGTCTGCAACTGTACCTCATGATGTCTCACTATTAAAAAAAATTTTCATAAAAAGAAGAAGCACTTATTCTGCACTAATGATGATAAGGAAACTGCTCCAAACAGAGAAATGACTGCCTACTCTGTGTCAAGGAGAATATTCTCTGATGGTGAGGTGAGAAAGAGTGAAGTCGGAGCTGTTATTACTCCTTGCAAAGTCCTGAACAATGTGAAGGACACAGAGTGCCCCCAAGATATTGGGGTGAATGCGTCTCTTGAAAGCTGAGTACTAATGCTGACAAAAAATAAAACAGAAAAATTAATTTAAGGGTTCGCTTTCTATTGGTGAGGACTCCTGATCTTGGGGAGGTTCTGGAAAGTTTACTTCTACTTCTTCTTCTTCTTCTTGGACTGGAATAATTTCAATGCCTTCTTCGTTTTGGGGTTGGGAAGGTATTTGTGTCATCTCAATCACTTCTGGTTTTTCTATTTGATCATCTTTTCTTCCTCCAGCTGACAGGAGAACTACATTCTGCAATACAGAATCAAGGAAACTTTTCTTGGTTATACCATCAACATATTTCTCAACATGGTCTACAAATATTTGTTAAATTTCTCCTATTTTTAAACTCTTCACACCATATTCTATTTGTCCCAGATACCAAGATTGATTTCCCAGGTCCTCAAATAGTTTTAAAACATCAAAATTCCCCTCCCAAACTAGGAGATATTTGCTACTTTTTCTTAAGGAATCACACATGATTGCAAAACAGCTCTCCATTAATGACAGAATTTGAATTCTAGTTTTGACTTGCCTTTCTTGGAGGTAACCCAGAGAAAGTAATTTCCTCCCTTTAATTTTTGTTCCTCATTAACAAAGCCATGAAAACAATAGTGCTTTTGAATTATCTTCTTAATTCTCTTCATTGCACGGAAAGCTATTGTTAATAGAATTATCACTTAGATATTCCTGTCTCCAAATGGTGGAGTCTCCAGATGGGGAACATAAAGTAACAAAATAGGAGACTAACACCCAAGAATGGACGAGATTAGTACCAGGAGTTTTGCTCCATGGCTTGGAGGCCAGCCACACGCTCTAGGGGAAGAGGGAGCTCAGATAGAGAAAGGAGTACCAAATAAAGGGTGCTGGGAGGATCCTCCTGGGATGGGAGAAGCATGCTGAAAGTAGACTATAGACCAAACATGATTGCCTCTCAATGCTTCTTTTGCAAACCATGACACCCAAAAGGAGAGAGAGAACAAAAGGGAATACCCTGCCACAGAGGCAGGGTGGGATGGGGGATGGGGGCGGGAGGGATACTGGGACCTGTGGTGGTAGAAAGTGGGCACTGGTGGAGGAATGGGTGTTTGATCATTGTACAATTGAAACCCAAGCACAAAAATTTGTAAATCTACAACTGTACCTCATGGTATTTCACTAACAAAAATTAAAAAAAAATGTAAATGATGGAGAATGGGCACTGGTGGAGGGATGGGTACTGGATCATTGTATAACTGAAACCCAAGCACAAAAATTTGTTTACAGTCTACAACTGTACCTCATGGTGTTTCACTAATAAATTTTTTTTTTAAATGGTGGAGTCTCTTTGAATTTGTTGTTTTGGAAAAGGGATTTGATGAAATACTTCGGAGAAGAGGGAATACTGAGCAGCCAGGCGAAAGGTCTAGTAATTTTCATGAATCTGTAAAAGCATCCAACTTTTACTCAGTAAATGTAAAGTTATGCAATCAGTAGTAGATGACTGAAGTCAAGAATGACTCAAGGTTAGTAAGATGTGGAGTGAAAACGAGTTTAGGGATGGCATAGATGAATTATTTAACTTTTGCATCAGGTACAGTTTCTCTGTTGTTGAGAGCCTGGCAAACACTACAACTGCCACTGACTCCTTGGTTTTCACCACTGCCACCGCCATCACCAACACCATTTCTACTACTACCACACATACATCTCATACAATGTTGTCCTCTGTTTAATCTTCAGACCAATTAATTTGGCATTTAAAAATATCCCCCTCAATTTTGGTAGCGTTTCCAGAACTATGTCAAGATCATTTTTCAGGACTCTCTGGCACAGCCATGGCTCCAGAGGCACAAGGACTTAATGCAGAGCCCGGCAGCTTGTGGCAGAAAAGTGAATGGACTATGCGTTAATCCACTGTCCCATGCCTCCCTGGGAGGGAAAGGGTGTCGCTCCCTTCCGCCTCCCCCCCCCCCCCCCCCAGCAGCAAGATAGTGGCCGCCTCGGAGCTCTTTCGCAAGCCAGGTATGAGCCAACTGCAACCTCATAGGAAGGGGGGGTGTTCCCGGCTAGTCCTTCATGCCCTACCAAGGTCACGCGTTGCCCCCCACAAGCGGCTCTCTAGCACTGCCATGGCTCCAGAGCCACAGAAACCAATCTCGTAATTATCTGGCTCTTGGCAGAAATCCCTCCAGGCTTAATAAGTAAAATATCAGAAATCCAAAATCATATGGTTCTCATAACCAGCTGTAGCAAACAAATTATTTCACAATGCCTTTTCAGCAGTTCTGATTGTTGGGTGTAAACTCTAAACAATAATGGTGCATCTTTTGTCGAAATAATGAACGTAATCAAAGTAGATAGTGAATTAAGTAGAATTCATCTGCCTCAGAGGCATTGGGAGGGGTGGGAGGGGGGTATATGGGGTTCTTGGTGGTGAAAAATAAGTACTGGTGAAGGGAAAGGTGTTTGATCATTGCATGACCGAGACATAAACCTGAAAGCTTTGTAACTTTTCCCCACAGTGATTCAATAAATAAATATTTTAAAAAAGACTTTTTTAAAATGGAAATCCAAGTCTCAAAGTATCATCAGATTACATTCTTCCCAAAAGAATGTAATTCTTCCTAAAAGAATGTAATTCTTCCTATTGTAAACATGATTTTTCCCAGAGGGAGGCTGTGAAAAGAGTGGCACTGACTTACAGTTTTGGGTCTGGAGCACAGACTTTTCCACTCATTCTCAACGACACCAGCTGTCACCAGTTTCTGGAGGAAGGCAAAGATCAGCATCACTGCAAAAATACCCTGAAAAACAATAGAAAAATGATGGTTAAAATGTGGTAAATCCAGACTGGATAGATAGTACAGAAGGTAGGGCAATTGCCTTGCACACAGTCAACCCAGGTTGGATCCCTTGCACCCAATGTTGTTCTGTGAGTATCGCTAGGAGTAATTTTTTTGTGTTCAGAGCCAGAACTTGATTCTAGAACATCATTGGGTGTGGCCTTAAAACCAAAGGAAAAAAAGGTATTAAAGCCTCAAGAATATAAAATTGATATTCAGTATATTATCATTGACTAATAGTAAATTATTAAAAGTAAATTAAAAAATCAGGACTGGGGAGATTAATAACTAAAAAAGTTATTTACAGTTACTAAATAACACATATGATCCCCTGAATAACACTAGGCATGATTGATGAGCAAGTGCGTAGTAACTATTAGTACTATTACTATTTTTTGGGCTGGAGTGATAGCACAGCGGTAGGGCGTTTCCCTTGCATGCAGCCAACATGGCCAACCCGAGTTCAATTCCTCTGCCCCTCCCGGAGAGCCCGGCAAGCTACCGAGAGTATCTCGCCCACACGGCAGAGCCTGGCAAGCCACCCGTGATATATTCGATATGCCAAACACAGTAACAACAAAAATCTCCAATGGAGACGTTACTGGGCCCGCTCGAGCAAATCGATGAACAACGGGAGGGTCTTTACCTTTACCTTTACTATTTTTTAATGATTATTTTCTTTTTTCTTCACTATTTCACTATTACTGGTTTTATGACTCTCTAACCAGATAATTGATATTGACTGCTGATATAGAATAAGGAAGTGGTAACTGATGAAAAAATTAATTTTATGTAAGAAATAATTATGAAATGTCAAATGAATTGTATTCACTTTACGTTGTTAGGTTGTTTGGTCTTATAGCAAAGAGATCTCTTCATATTTGGGACATGCAATTTTCCCTGCTTAAGCTCTACATTAAAGACTCACTGAGGCAAAATTTGTCAGTAACATCATAGATACGTTCATTTCAACTCTGTCACTGTCACTGTCACTGTCCTCCCTTTGTTCATCGATTTGCTGGAGCGGGCCCAGGAGCTTCTCCATTTTGACACTTGTTACTGTGTTTGGTATATCGAATATGTCACGGGGAGCTCGCCAGGCTTTGCTGTGCTTCATTTCAACAATAATGATAAATATAAATACCAGTAATAGTAATATGATTAATTAATATTAAGGGAGGGGCTTATTTTGCTTAAATGGTTGAAACTTTCTGCATCATACTGTTATAAATAAATAGACACGGTAGACACGGTCCTCCCCTTGATCATCGATTTGCTCGAGCGGGCCCAGTAATGTCTCCATTGGAGACTTTGTTGTTACTGTGTTTGGCATTTCGAATACGTCACCGGTAGCTTGCCAGGCTCTGCCGTGCGGGCGAGATACTCTCGGTAGCTTGTGGGGCTCTCCGAGAGGGCCGGAGGAATCGAACTCACATCGGCCATGTTGGCCGCTTGTAAGGCGAACGCCCTACCGCTGTGCTACATATACTAAAATTGGCATGATACAGAGAATATAAATAAATGATCTTTATATATAAATTCATTACTGAATTTATCAACAGGCTTTCAAGGTAATGGACTATTACCTTCTCCATTAAGAATTCAATAAATTGATGCAAAGTTAAATTTCTGACCAACTACAGTAAATAGTATATAGAAGGATCCAGGGCCAATTTTATAATAAAACATCATAGTTTATTCCTGAAAAGAAATCCAATTTTCACTTACCAAGAATACAGACTGTATGCTGCGACAGTATTGGGTTGATAACGCATTTTTCTCAGAGGGGTTAGATGGTTCGCATTTGTGTATGTTGATAAGTGGTACAGGTGCTTTAATAAGATTCAGACTCTCCATTTTAAAAAAATGGGAAATTGTAATATTAAATATGTCCATGATCAACAGAATTATTCCAGAAATTGCAGCAAAGAGACTCAATGAGTTCATAACAGTTTTCCCTTTGATCTGGAATGGAGGAGAAACGTTCATTTGACTTGATTTCTACTTGCAAAGACATGAGATACAAAGTTACTCCAGATTCAATTCCCCTAACTCACAACAAACAAAAATACTGTCCTCCCATTGTTCATTGATTTGCTCCAGGGGGCCCAGTAACGTCTCCATTGTGAGACTTCTTGTTACTCTGTTTGGCATGATGAATACTCTCGGTAGTATGCCAGGCACCCGGCTAGACCAGGCTGGCTGCGCACAAGGTAAACACCCTACCGCTGTGTTATCGCTCCAGCCTCACAAGGACACTTGATCCACGTCTTATTAAGATCTCTCAATTCTTTTAGCCTCTTTACAATCTTAACTAAAATCCTTATTTCTCGGTTCTGTTCCTTTCTATTTTTCCCTACTCATTTTATTCTATCACTATCTAATTTATCAAGAATATTTTTCCATCTTGTCAAGATTATCAGAACTATTTGGTTGAGGAATCATATACAGGAAATCAGAGGGCTCTTATTATTTCTATATGAGTTGATAAAAATACACAAGTTTCAAAATTTTTTTTTTAGTGCAGTTGATACTGAGATTTAAGTGTGACCAGAATTGTCATCAAGATTCAAATGTGAGCAAATTCAAAAATTTGCTCCTCTTGACCTAGTATCTGATCAAAGAACATTTTAATATAAAGAAATATGGTAATGGTTGTGTACATATCAGAAATATGTTAGAGTGGAAAATATTTCCATAAGGCAATAAACCTGAGTTCTGCAAAATAAACTATCTTTAAAGACAGAAAAGTGAAAAAAAGAATATTTTTCCATCTTGTACCCTTACATTTCCTTTCACTGACACAGCCATCCTAGTAGGCAATTAGAAATTTTTGTTGAATCAGTGAAGATAAGTAATACTTAGATTACATCTATGTGGGGAGGTTGAGGGAAAAGAGAGGGGGAGCCTCTTCCCTCACAATGAATCAGGACGGTACAGTGGTTATGGCTAGGGAAAGAACACACCTCTTTGGTCTTGTACTACCAAGTGGAAATGGACAACAGAAGCAATACCCCACCACCTACCCTCTACTGTTACCGCCTACCTTCTGTTGTCATTAGTTGTGTGCTCAACCAATTGTCTTTCAAAATACAACCAGAGCTGACGTTATTGAGTGGTATAAGAAAAAGAGTATCAAGATTCATGTTCTATCTTGCAGAAATTAAAGAAAGTCAAAAAAGGAAAATATATCTTACGAGTCCCATAATGGTATGAAATTACTTATGCTTATTTGAAGACGTATGTTTTATTTCTGGCTATGTAATCTATTTGTGACAAATAGGTATTACTACCTGTATTTGTAAAATAAAACAATTTTCATAATCATTTTTTCTCCCCTAAACTTTTTTTGGGCCACCTCTAGGGAGGTCATCATCTCAATCAATTCTTTCACTCAGTCACTTTGGAACTATCTCAAATTAGTGATAGTACAAATAAAAAAGCCAGGGGAAGAACTTTTCTGATAAGTTATTCACCCCCTCAGAATAGAGAGCTCTTCTGGAAGTAAATGTGTCACTTGGAATCATACAAAGTAGAAAAATTCAGTAGCTTTTTATAGTCACTCTACTTCATCTTCATGATAATTTTATATGGTAAAAAGAACATATTTCATATTTATAGTTTAACAACTTAGAGGTACATAAAACTGACTTGTTTGAGGTTATAGGTGGAGGTTGAAAATGACTTACACCAACTAAAATATCGATTAGTCAATTTTCCTAAAAGGTGATCTGAGATGAATGACTTGCCATTGAAAGAGACATGCTAGTCTTGAGCTATATTACCATTCGTAAGACCATAAGCATCCTTCATATTTAAAATCTACTTTAAATTCTCTTTCCATAGACATATTTCAGGTAGATGTCATTTACAAGAGTTTCATGAATAAAATCAAGCCAACATGAAGGAAGGTATTCTACTTTTGATGGTTGAAAGACAGCTCACTGCTGTAAAGAATTCTGTGAAGAATCCTTGTTTTCAACAGAGAAAGTAGACAATGCTAACATGTGTGTGAAAAGGGGACATATGATTACTTACCAGACATCCCCTGGAGTTTGTTTTTGCTGCTGCCAACAGTGAACCCGAGATGATATACTGTAAAAAGCAGAAGATGTTGGGAAGGGTGTGCAACAATTGAGAGAGGTGGCAGAAAAGATCAGTCTTAATATTGAGAAATGGTTGTACAAAAGATATCCATATTATGGACACTTTCATTACACTCTAGTCATCCTTATTGGATTCATCTATTTTCCAATTCAACCCACATTGATTCAATCATTTGAAAAAAATATAACAAGACCAGAAAGTTCGAAGTCACATTTCCATGTCAATGATTATAGTATAAATGGAAAGATTGTTTTAGTTTTTCTTTCCTTTTTATTTTAACTGTGGAATGAAACTGCTATTTGCAGCTCACAATGACTTAAATGACATTGCTGTCAGTTTACAACTGTGAATTGATGTGGAAGGAAACACTTGAGCTGACTATCCTAGGCTCTCTGTTAAAGTATTGGCTGCTACAGGAAGTCATAGGGATTATCCATCATTTTCCTTTTTAATTTTTTAAACTAGGAAATGGAGGAAACTACTGTTTCAATTCATCTCTTTCTGTTCTGAAAATGAATTTTAGTCCTATACTCTATTGTAGCAAAGCAACTATGAATATAAGGGTGAAATAAATGTCAGTGCCCTGTACATGTACAATTTGGAAGATATCTATCTATCTATCTATCTATCTATCTATCTATCTATCTATCTCTATCTACCTATCTATCTATCATCTATCTATCATCTATCTATCCAAATATATATTTAATCTTTTGTTTTACCTTTGTAGAAAACATATGCACAAATGTATGCATAACCTATCTGTCTTTCACCTCTTGGTGCTTTTCTTTTATTTTACTATTGAGAAATTGTATATATACACACATATCTACATATATATACAAGTATATCTACATATATGCTTCTGATATATGTATATATGTGCATACACATACAAAATCAGCCATAAGTGCTGCTTTGATGATGTACAGAAGGAGGTACATCTAGAACCAGCCTAATGTTAGCAGGCATGGATAATAACAGAATTGTGGGGAAGATGGTCTAGGTGGTTAAGTGGGGTGCTCCTCTTACTCTTGCTTTCTGAGATTCCATGCTAAAAGGAAACACCATGTTCAAGAGTCTATGCCCCTTTTCACAAAAATTGACTTTGGAGATGTACCACCTTAAACCATCTTCCTTCCTTGTGTCGACTCTGAAGGGCATCTTTCTCTGAATTCACATAAATTCAGTTCTTGAAGCGGGGTCATCCCACTATGGGATCCAGGCTCAAATTAGTCAACCTCTTTTTCCTTTTTTTTGTATATCCCTGCACCTACTTCAATTTAATTTAATTTGATTATTATTTTTATTAGTGAATCACTGTGAGGTACAGTTACATGCTTACAAACTTCCGTGCATGCGTTTCAGTCATACAATGATTGAGTACCCATTCCTCCACCAGTGCCCATTCTCCACCACCAATGTTCCCAGTATCCCTCCCACCACCCCCATCCCATCCCCCCAAAACCCCACCTCTGTGGCAGGGCATTCCCTTTTGTTCTCTCTTTTCCTTTTGGATGTTGTGACTTAACCTCTATTTCTGCCTCATTACTTCAAATGGAGAACTTAGTTTCTATCTAAATCTTTCTTCCACACAGAACTAATCTGGCATTATCCTGTGAATCTTTAAAAGAAATTTTCCTGGCACCACTTCTCAAGTAGTTATGTTTTTACTCACCATAACTCCTCCCCAGAAGGGGTACCAAAGAGATATACAGATGGGTGAATAAACATTTGAGTGGACCATCAGGAGGCCACCAAGAGCAAAGTGAAAGAGTCCATTCATAATCTGCACGGCCTGGAGGAGAGAATGAGGTCACTAAGGGATGAATTAAAATCACAAAGTCATCGGAGACCAAAGGTCAGGCCCTGACTTGGACTATGTGAAATCAAAGGAAGAGGTGTAAGTGTCAAGACTTTTGTCTTGTTTTGATCCATTTCCCCCACCATTTTGCAAAAGTCAATTTCCAAAGCAGTAATGCCTGGGATGTTGGCAGCAAACTGTAATAAGAGACCCCTTAACTAAGCAGCCTAAAAATCAAAAGGGGACACAAAACCACCCTGATGACTTTTTGTCCCATCCTTCACCTGGCCCACCCCACCAGACATAAAGGGCAGTGTAGGTCATGTCAAATCCCTATTACCTTGAGTTGATTTCTATACCTAACCTGGATCAACTGTGATCTAAACAACCCTTATAATAAAGGGAAACTGACTTACTCCCAAAGCCTTAGATTCCCTCATGAAGAACCTCTGTGTGGGGTCCTTCATTGAAGATGTCTTCTGGGGAATGCTTCTTTGAAAGGGATGCATGGCAATAGGGCCTCTCAGAGGCTCTGTCGGAAAAGTTCCACTCTTAGAACTTCTGGGTGTTGTCATTGCTTCCTCAAAACTGCTAAAATGTAATTACATAAGGAGAGAGAGAGAGAGAGAGAGAGAGAGAGAGAGAGAGAGAGAGAGTAGGATTTTAGACAATGGTCTATTTTGTGTCAGATTTCTGAAACACATTTTGGGGAAATATATGTATTCATTTATTTATTTTTCAAATTGAATCACAGTGAGATGCAGTTACAAGGTTGCTCATCTTGGGTTTCAGTCATCTAATGCTCCAACACCCATCCCCTCACCAGTGCACATTTCCTACCACCAGTGCCCCCAGTTTCCCTCCCCCACCCTGACTCTATGCCAGGCACTTTCCTTCTTCTTTTCCTTCTCCTCTATGTTTCATTTTGGGCATAGTGGTTTGCAATACAGATAATGAAAGGTTATTATATATATTTTCCATTAATACTTTTCTCTTTATTGTCTTCGTCATTGAGATTAGATATGGCCTCTCTCTACTGCCTTTGCCTCTGACTGAAGAACTAATGCTGTGTTCACATAATCCATCTGGAGTGGACAATGTGGGCAAGGACTTAAAGAGTCATGGGTCCCTGCCAGGGGTTCTGCCAGCCATGTTTGAAGCATACTTTATCTTTGTAGAAAACATATACACAGATGTATGCACAATCTGTCTTTCATCTCTGGGTGCTTTTGTTTTGCTACTGAGGAATTATTTTGCATTATTTTCTCCTTCTTCCTTCCCTTATCTACTTTTCTTCATTGTACTAGGCCAGAGACATGGCAGATTGTAGTGAAAACTGTCTCTGGAGAGGCTAATTCTAGTCTTCCTTCTGCCTCTAACTTCCCTACCTTGGATGAATTGCTTCAAAGAGACTGTCTAAGGTTATATGCAGCATAGTGAGCTCCTAAATCTAATAGCTTAGATTTAAATCATATTTTTTTAACTTGCTAGGCAAGGTCTCAAAATTCTCTAGGCCTCAAATTCTTTGGCTTAAAACAGAATTTGGCTTAAAACAAAATCATGGGCTGGAGCGATAGCACAGTGGTAGGGCGTTTGCCTTGCACGCAGCCAACATGGCCGACTCCGCCCCTCTCGGAGACACCCCTGTCGGAGAGCCCAGCAAGCTACCTAGAGTATCTCGCCCGCACAGCAGAGCCTGGCATGTTCCCCATGATGTATTCGATATGCCAAACACAGTAACAACAAAGTCTCCAATGGAGATGTTACTGGGCCCGCTCGAGCAAATCGATGAACAACGGGAGGACAGTGACAGTGACAGTGAGCAACCCATCACAGACTGCTAGCTCAAGCTATCCGTTTTACTGCTTAAGTCATGCTCTTCTAAACCAAAAACTCTTCCACTGCTCAGTCATGGTCTATTGAAGGAAACGTCTTCCACCTGGCCCTTCTAGCCAGTAGAATTCAGTTCTCCATCATTTGCCAAGCTGTAACCAGACCAACCTCATTGGATTTTGGCCATGTATTTTCATTTCCTCTTGAAATTGAGACACTCATCCTCCCACCTTGGAGATCTCAATCCAAAAACACCACTAGACTTGGGCATCGCCTGAGTCTATTCCAGCTGTGTTACCTCAGTCCCTTTCCATGCTTCAGCTCTTTGCATCTCTTGCTAATTACCATTTGTTTTCTTCCTACTGCCATACTGTAACTTTTGGAGAGGTGGTATGAATTTCTCAAGGACTCCTTGTGTCTTACTAAGACTAAGACTACAGAGAGAATTTGATTTCTGTGTCCTATGAGTCTAGTAAACATGAAACTGGACATGAAACTGAACTGCTTTCTCAGAGCGGCTCTGCCAATGATCAGACTGTCAGAGAAGAAAATGAGGATTTTTGTCCCAGCCTGATGGTTGGTGAGATCAAGCTTTTTCATGGGAAGAGGGAAAGGGGCATTATATAATGATTTTAGAAAACCATTATGGAATGTTAAAATTCACTGGTTCCCTACTCCCCCACCCCTTTTGTCAAAGCTGGCAGTGTTCAGGGTTTACTCCTGGCTGGGGACTCAGGGATTACTCCTTGTGGGGCTCAGGGGTTTCATTTGGGGTGCGGGGGATTAAACCCTTTTATGAACGTTTTCTTTTATTTCTGGTGGCCACCCAATCTAGATTTCTGTGATAGATTTGAGGCAGGATTTTATGCTCAGATTAATATTCCCTACATCCATCCAGAAAAAAAATTACCCTCTGAGCCATAGCACTATATAGGCATTGGGCTAAATGTAAGTATTTAGAGGTACTTACATTCACAGAATATCTTCTGGATGCAAAAGCAGTTAAAACAAAAGGAATGGAGTAACTTTAATTATAACCATAACTAATTATTTGCTAATTAGGTACTAGGGCTTTCTAAGAACTTTAAGGTTTGCTCTTTATTCCTTAAAATACAGTGGGTAAGATTATTGTGTCCTCCGCTAGGGGAAAAGGCAGCTCAAATAGAGAAGTAAAGTAAAGGCCCTCCCGTTGATCGTCGAATTGCTCGAGCGGGCCCAGTAACGTCTCCATTGGAGACTTTGTTGTTACTGTGTTTGGCATATCGAATACGTCGCGGGGAGCTTGCCAGGCCCTGCCGGGCGGGCGAGATACTCTCGGTAGCTTGCCGGGCTCTCTGAGAGGGGCAGAGGAATCGAACTCGGGTCGGCCATGTTGGCCGCTTGTAAGGCGAACGCCCTACCACTGTGCTATCGAAGCACCAAATAAAGGGTGTTGGGAGGATCCTCCCAGGATGGGAGAAGCATGCTGAAAGTAGACTATAGTCCAAACAAGATTGCCACTCAATGTCTCTTTTGCAAACCACAGCACTCAAAAGGAGAGAGAGAACAAAAGGGAATGCCCTGCCACAGTAGTAGGGTGGGATGGGGGGAAGGGAGGTGCGAGGGATGCTGGGACCTGTGGTGGTGGAGGATGGGCGCTGGTGGAGGGATGGGTACTCGATCATTGTATAACTGAAACCCAAGCACAAAAATTTGTAAGTCTAAAACTGTACCTCATGGTGTTTCACTAATAAAAATTAAAAAAAAAGATTATTGTGTCCTCCCCCTGCCCCCCTCCACCTGGCCCCAGCTCTTTTCACGGTCAAGGTCCTCCTGTTGTTCATCGATTTGCTCGAGAGGGCCCAGTAACGTCTCCATCGTGAGACTTGTTGTTACTGTGTTTGGCATATTGAATACATCAGGGGTAGCTTGCCAGGCTCTGCCGTGCAGGTGAGATACTCTCGGTAGCTTGCCGGCCTCTCCGAGATGGGCGAAGGAATCGAACTCGGGTCGGCCATGTTGGCTGCTTGTAAGGCAAACACCCTACCGCTGTGCTATCGCTCCAGTCCCCAGCTCTTCTCATAGATGAAGAAATGGGATGATCATAGACATGTAATAAATTTCCTGAGGGAATATGGCTTGTAAGTGGTAGAACCTGGGTTTGAGAAACTAAACTTTAAAGTTTCTTATTTGCTAATTTGTCATTTTCTACCACGATAGAATCACACACACACACACACACACACACACACACACACACACACACACACGTGTGTAACTGCATTGATGGCGGAAGAGAGACAGAGTCAGAGGGAAAGGAGAAGAGCAGTAAAACTAAGTATCACCCCTTCTCAGATTATGACACCACTCCAAAACCTGACGAGGGAAGCATTAGAATTAAAGCCAAGAATCTCCAATCTTCAAAAGTATTCTATCACTCATTTAAACATAGAAAACTGAACTCTTACCTGAATCTCCAATGCCTAAGGGATTGATTTGGATCCTTGCTGCTGAGTTCAGTTCCACTGCTACTTTCTCAAAGACAGTGAGGGTGAGTGAGAGAGGCCAATTTAGGGTCTGGGATCACTGAGAGTTACCAGGTGACAGGAAATCGGTGACTTCTGCTACCTTGGGCTTTGCCTCAATTATTTTAGTTTATTATATACTTAACAAAGGCTGAAAGATGTACAAAAAGCTTCTGCCTTCTCAGGAGGTTTCACTTCTTAAAAAGGACCTCAGGGGACAGCCTGGTGTACTTTACACTCCCCTAATTAGAAGAAATTTGCAGTCCCTACCCAGCAAGCAGATGTGGAGGGTGGGTCCCTAGGGGCTGTACAGATTCTAAGATGGGATGTTAGGACTTTTACCTTCTTACTTCATTTTTAGAAGTGAGTAGGTGGAAGGAAGCAGCCATGCAGAGAGACCCAAGAAGCACGGACCCAGATGCTTGAGAGGGTTGCACGTAGACTTTTACAAGTATTGTTCTCATTTATTCACATTTAGGCTCAGAGTAGGTGTGTGTTGTCTGTGTCCTGGCAGATTTGTAGAAATGGACTAACATCATACTTTGGTTTAGTTATCATGTGCTTGAGGCATGACTCCATTTTTTGGGCACTTAAAATGAACTATAGGACTGTAAATCCACCTTTTCCTTTATTTGTCTGGTGTCCTGTGTCTTCTTAAGTTTTCAGTCTAGGCTGGATCTCCGTGGCCAGCAACCTCAGTACTAGATTAAGTGGCGCAAGGGAGAAAGCTTGTGGCTAAGAGTATGGACATTTGGGAAAGGAATCAAAGGATGTTTGCATTCCTGAAGATATCTGTGAATGCCACCATATATGACACGTTTGAACATAGGTTGGATTTTGCATTTTTCAATCTCCTTGGCATTGCTTTACTTTGTTAAAGACATGGAACTGTAATTAGGCAATTATTTGCCTGCCTACTTTAACGGGCTGAAATATAGTGGTTCTGTTGCTTAGAAATATATGACAAGGGGCTGGAGCCATAGTACAGCAGGTAGAGCATTTGCCTTGCATGCAGCCAACCTGGGTTTAAGCCCTGGCATCTAATATGGTCCCCTGAGCACTGCCAGGAATGATCCCTGAGTACAGAGCCATGTGAGCATCCCTGTGTGTGACCCCAAAACCCCTTCTTCCCGAAAGAAATATTTCAATCTTTTCTTTCTTCTCTCCTCATCTGCTTCTCTTTCATTTGATAAGGGTTTCAGTGAGTTTACTAAGAGGTAGATGCAGTTTTTGAGAAG